TCCGAAGTTTCGCAAGTTTCGCATTTATGACACTCACTCAGTCATGATCATCAGAATAGAACTAGTACTTCACATAAACTCAGAGAGCTGAAATTTGGTACAGAGTTAGGGTTTAATGGCCACATAAAGGGAAAACTATAAAAACTAGGATAATCGAAGATTTGGAGTACCTGGTGACCCTGATTAGAAAACACAAGAGCCCAACCAAACTATTAGAAGAGTTCGACATACCGCCTTTACAAAAAATATTCATGTTTTTATTTATTTTTAAGCATTTAACTGCTAGATGTTTAAATCTAAAGAAAAGTTTACTAGAAAAAAAATCCACGCAGCTCAGGCAGCGCACGGGACTAGCTGGCGCTGCCTTGCAGCTTAAGGCTAGGAAAATTTCGACGCGGCGAATAGAGCCGTGGTAGCATAATGGTCAGTGCATTCGCCCGGATTGCGAAGCGTGCGGGTTCGTGTCCCTCCCGTCCGCTGCCTGGGCTGCGTGTATTTTTTCCTAGTAAACTTTTCTTTAGAATTAAAAAATATTCAACTTGGTGGGCCGCTTCATTTGATGTAAAAAATCGAAGGTCTGAAGTATCTGATTAAGAACTCTCAGCTGTATTAGAGATATGGTAATGCTCCCTTCTACTATTGATACACAAAAAAATCGACTGTCATTGCAAAATCCAGCGTAGTGGGACACATCTTTTAATTTAATCTAGCCTATAGCGTCGTCGCTTTAGCGACCAACTTCATGCCTTACTTTTGTGTTTACCGCACATTAAGAAAATCTACCAATAAAATAGAAATAGAATCTCTATTTAGTGGGTGCTAACGACTGCATTGTGAAGGCCTATCAAAAGTATTTATTAATCTGGAACAACGGAACCAAAGCGCGATTCAGGAGACTACAGCGCCATCTCTTGACCATTGGTGTAGTAGAACCAAAATCCACATCTTTATTTTTTGTAATAAAGTAACAGTTATAGGTATTCATATTTATAATATCAAAAGTATTTATTAATCTGGAACAACAGAACCAAAGCGCGATTCAGGAGACTACAGCGCCATCTCTTGACCATTGGTGTAGTAGAACCAAAAACCACATCTTTATTTTTTGTAATAAAGTAACAGTTATAGGTATTCATATTTATAATATTTATCCACATGTTTCTAGTTTGTATATTCGGAATACGTGTTTGAGTTTCATACAAGTGCAAATCACATAATTATGTTCTAATAAATTATATTCAGTAGCGATTTTAATTGAATATTTTGATTATTTATTTATTTTTTCAAATTAAAACTGAACTTTATTGACTGTGTCCTTTTCCAGGCTTTTTATTAATTTATTGTAATTAATTATTTGCATGCAATTAAAAACTAATTTTAAACGATGCCAAAGAAGGATAACTTCTCACGCGCCTACATAAGTACACGCACCCATTTTTTATTATAGTTAATGTTGTGTGACTTGGCCGTTGAAGATTACACAAGGGTACAAAACCAGGTGCTACATGACACCATTGCAGCAATCTGTTTTTACCCGGCTGCGCAATGCAAGAGCGCGGAGCGCGACGCGCTGACAGGGTTGTGTTTAATTAACAGTCTATATATGTATGTTTGTTCCTTTGTGGCACACTAGAGACCAAACGCCTGAACCGATTTTGATGATTCATACATCAATCGATTCGTCTCAATCATGGGAGTGCTACTAAAGATATGATAGTAATCAAAATTCAATATGGGCAAAATTAGGCGCCATATTGTGACGAAGTAAAAAAAATAAGTTGACTAAATATGTCGAGTGGGGTATCACTGTCTAGATAATCAAAAATCATATTTAGGTTCCTAACACCATTTTTCATTTTATATGATTGTTTAGGATCTACAACGCTTTAAAGTTGTATATTAACCACTTACGCTGTTAATTTCAAGCTTACGTTTGTATGGATCTTTGTTACTCTTTCACCTTAAAAAATACTGAATGGATTTTAATGAAACTTAACAATAATATAGTTCATATACGATAATTACTTTTATATAATAATTTATGTAGTTATTGAGTGAATTGGCCAATATATAACAATAAGTGTCACATAAGACGGAAAAAATCTCCCATCTGCGAGCCATTTTGGCCTGCACTGCAAAAACAATAAAAGTTACATGAATGTAATGTAGAGTGAAAATGTATCTCTTAAATAGTTCTACAAAAGTCCGTGACACCATATATCTATTTTTAATGTGTAAGTCATTACCGCTAAAATAGTGAATCAAAACTAAAATATTATTTGATATCTATTTCCAAAATGCACATTTTGTATTGACAAATCTTTTTTTATCCAAACAAATACTTTTATCGCTTTTGATATTTATAGACGATAAACTTTGCTTTTTACACTATGTCATTTCGACAAATATTTAAAAAGTTACAACGATGTCAAAGTGATAGCGCGGTGTACTATGTAAAAGAAAAAAAATGGGGTATTCGCAGTATCTGATCCTATACGAAGTACTAACAATAAAACTGTGATACAGTTTCTTCTTATTAAATGATGAAAAATATATTATCATATTAGGTATTTATGATTATTGAATTTTAATGAAAAACTCAAAATTTTACTGTTTTTTATTTTTTTTAACAATATTACTTAAGGTTACAAAAAAGGTTTACTTAATATAATGACAAATAACCCATTTCTCGCTAGTAAGTACATACTTATTGGAATCCCTGTATAATGCCTTTAGTTTAATAAAATATTATAAACTTTGCTTTGGTGATTGCATAATTATTTAATTTAGTGATCTAAGGCAGTTGCCACCATTGTCCAAAACAACAGACGGGAATTACTGCTTTATTCAACCTGCGACATAAACGTCATTGATTGGTATTGTATATAGGGTGATTAAAAACATTTGAAGTTAACTTCTGGCATCTACATATTGGGTTTCTGTGAATGATGTAGGTATATCAAATTATGAGACTAGGATATGACACTACATTTGTGTATATCACAATCTTAGAGCCGGACGTTGACATGACAATGCAGCTACTGCCAATTTTAAATAGTCGACGAATAAAAATAAATGAATTTTATATTTACTGCTAAACTATTAAAAAAAACATAAACAAAAGATGACTTTTTGAGTAAGTGCTAGTTTACTATAAAATTTACACACAGTAGAGGTATTTATGTAACGATTGGATTTAACTTCACACATTTTTGCGAAAATTGAGGCCCATCTGTAGCCTTGACCCCGCTGGTAAAGTCTTTATATATCTTAATAAATCAATCTTTTAGACCGACGCAAGGTACTTAATAATTCCCGCGATATTAATTCCCTTACTGAAGTAACAAGACTACGGTATATACCGTCTTAAAATACTAACTAACTAAAAAGTGTGAAATAAAAAAGGTAAATTTAAAAAATCAAAAAACCCGTCTGCTTAATTATACTTCAAATAAAAACTGAAAAGAAAAAAACAAGTCCAGTAGTCTACAATTCTGTTAATAAGGAACAAAGCTACTTTAACAGTCGGGACCCACTGTTGAAAAATATTTTGTATTCTTGAATATCTAATGGGTCCCGACTGTTAAAGTAGCTTTGTTCCTTATTAACAGAATTATAGACTACTGGACTTGTTTTTTTCTTTTCAGTTTTTATTTGAAGTATAATTAAGCAGACGGGTTTTTTGATTTTATAAATTTACCTTTTTTTTAAACTAAACTTAACAAAAGTACTTGAGATTTACTTTCCGTTAGAAACGAAAGGAAAAACGGTAAGTTGTTGGACGGCAGTCTCTGTCGCGCAGTAGCCAGTACATAACTGTAATGGATATAAAATAATATCAAAGTACATCGTGACCGTTATTAATGATATTATGAAAATAAATATTACATGTAGGTAATAATAATAACTTCCTTCGTTGCCACGCACTAAAAATATGATATTACACAACTTTATGAAATTTTTAAACACGATTTAAAAATTAATCGGAAAAAAAATGTAAAAGTATCTAGTAATTATCTAGTAGTTCATGTTATAATATAAAACAAGCTTTCAATTGATATATCTTCGTCGCAGCCGGAAACCGACTATGAATTTTGGATCATCTCCTTTTTCGAAAATGATATTTTTAATAGTAGGTACTCAGTCCTGTTCGTACAAGGAATAATAAGAGACTGGTGTCAAATTAACAAACATCTAAATCCTCCGTCTCATCCAGTCATCCATGGAAAAAGTGGAAATTGCTTCTACGTTAACGATATTTAAAAACCCAATCAAGAAGTGCCTGAACACCAATCTATTAATGGTGTTGATTTTAGCATGATTCTCTAAGCTTAAACTAAAATTTGACAGAAGTATATCCTTGTCATTCTCTATACTCTCTATACAGAATGAAAAGGAGTGATGTTAAATTTAGTTTTAAGTTTAGAATTGGCACCATAGTTTACTAATTCAACGCATTTGAAGCAAATTTTGTTCTAATTACTTATTATAAACTGATTTAAATAGAAAATATTTGTGATATTGAATTAATTACATGGTCCGTTATGTAGTCGTCTCTTTTCTTCGCGCTTCGTATCTGCTATATGTCTGCTAACAGCGTATTCAGAATTACGAAATAAAGTCCTTCCACATATAGCAAGAAGTCGTAAAATTTAAATACGAGCTTGTATTTCATACTGTCATAACTCTGACTCGTGCGTTTAAATTAAGACCCTTTAAGCTCAGCTTTAATGGTGACTTTGAATGTTTCAATTGTTTTTAACTACGCGATTATCTTACAGAGCTCCGTGGATCCGTTTAATGTACCTTTTCGAGAGTTTTCGGCCACGATTTTGTTCGTGATGTTGTATCTAGGTAGATACAACGCTCTAGATTTTAGGGTATTTAATATCGTTGTTCTACATAGTACAAGATTAAATGTGTGTGTAGTCAAGGCTGTATGGTTTTAAATCCGATGACTAAAAAAACAAAACGTCACTCCATTAGCCAAAATGTCATGTTCTCCAATCCAATTCAGCTGTAGTTTTCTTTCATTTTGCTTTTCACATAGTTATTTATCTACCTTCTTTTTAAGCGAAATATCGACTAAATTCTTATATCTCTTGATAATTTGTGACCAATGATTTGACTCGATAACGGTATTTATAGGAAACATTTAATTTGTTTCGTAAGCACAAATAGTACAAAATTACGCTGCTGAAAAACAACCGACATCAAAATTCCTCCAGCCTCAGCTACTCAAGAATCTGCTCTCCGTGCTACTAATTGGTAAACACCATTTTTATTATATGAAGCTCAACAAGGATACATGTAGATTAGCTAAACAGTAACACTATTATTTGCTAAATCGTAGGATAAATATTTTTAGCCTGCTTAAATATTGTCATTATTATTTTAATTAATTTAGTTTGTTACTTCTGGTGTAGTTCGTAATCAGTCATTGATATTGAGAGTTGATAATAGACCTGCTTAAGCAATACAGCGTATTGATAACCTGATGCAACATTAAATTAACTTTCATGTACATGATAATACAATAACTACTGTTACATCAAAATTTTTGACGTGACAACGTCTTAAATTAGGTTGCGGCTGGGAGTCACTTATGAAAAAGTGTAACGCTCGGTAACGTTACGATGAGTCTCTCGTGTTAAGTTTAAGTTTACATGTACAATGTTTTAGTAAACAAAATATATTTCTATAGTTAAAATTTGTGCAATTCTTATTTTCATTCAATTCCTTGTTCCTATTGTGCAATTTAATTATATTCATATCAATAAATATTCTACCGAGAAAAAGACGTTGTCACGTAAAATCTTCGCCCGTAAAACCGACTTTACAGGCAACCATTTTTTACTTGGGTATTTGGGCAGGCTGGTTGCCCAGACCGATCTATTCAAACACAAATGTAAATCTGTTAGTAGAGCCTGATTCTGTGCATGATTCTCTAAACCTACAATTAAATTAGACAAATATTAACACTCTTTACACAATTAAAGGCAGAAACTTGTTTAATTTAGTTTTAAGTTTAGTTTCAGCCTTGCTAGAATCAAGCCCACTGTAGTTCTAATTATAAAAACTAATAACAATACCTAAGACTTTATGTTCATGTTCTATCTTATACATAGTGTGATAATACTAGCTGATATGAAATCAAATGTAGTATCTGAAACCAAATGATTTAACAGCCAATTACCTGGGTCGGAGGATATTATAGCAATTGGTTTAAAAGAAAAAAAAATATATATTGATACAATGTTATGATTATATCCATTTTTTAAATAAATATTAATGGTAAAATATACATTTATTATTATATTTATAATGGTGATTTTATTTGCATTGTTACTATTATTATTTAAATAGTAAAAGTGACCAAATGTGTACCAGAACTTATTTCTTTGACAGCTTTTGGTAAAGCATCAGAACTTTACTGATTTGAGGTCTTGCAATCTAATGGAATCTGCACCTTCAGATAGTGGAAAGCTTGGAAAGTAGAGATTTTTAGTATAAAATTCTTTAGATTTTTGAATAAAACAGTTTAATTTTTAAAAAAACAATACAAGAGATGTAATTCTAATTAGACAGCTTGTGTATAAAAGCTATCTCTGCATAGTTTTTCCATCAAGATATCAAATTAATGCTGTGTATCTGAACTTTAGTGAGGCTATTGTCTATTTCTTTGTTAGTGGTTAGAATCTGAATTAAAATTAGATCAGTCAAAAATTATTTCTATTCTCCCATAACTTTCCTTTAGGGGTTTCCCAGAGATCGTATCTCGGACCTTTCCCGTTTGTCATCTCTGTTAATGACTTAACTATTTGGTTATCAGACCTTGCCCTCAACGAAGACAACCTTTATACATATAGATAAACAATTTACTAATGTTGAAGGCATAAAGTATAGAATAGCCCTATATAATGATCTTGATGCTATCTCAAAGTGCTGTCTTTCTAATGATATGAAACAGTGTTGACATATATCATATGCACTCATGCGAACGCTTTGAAGGCAATTAACTGTCTTTTGGACTAAGAGTGAAAACCGCTGAGGAAATCAGATCCAGGCCTTGTCGGTACTTAAGGAACTCGTAACTGTAAGTTTGTTAAAAGATCTGGGACTATTGTTGTATCAGCCGTCACCTCTTCAAGGTAGACATGTTCTCATTTTGATAACGTTTTACCAGTTCTGTTACACCATAGGTTTATTTAGTTTAGTTATTTATTTGGCATGCCAACGTTCATAATCAAACAGCATACTTTACACATAAACAGTTGCAGGCATACTGAATTCTTATTTCTGACAAAATCAGTGATAAAAACTAATCTAGGTTTCCAAATATATAAACGAGCAGGTGTAATTTATCGATCGTCGCATTTCAAAGGAGTCAGATTCGCGAACGAGTATGCAAAATTCGGTTTCTCATAGTGCAAACGGAGCGACGAGTGCAAGGAACGCGGTCGGTCCCCAGGTGGGCGGAGATGCTGGTGGCGTCCGAAACGGGCGACGTGTTCGCCCTGCTGGAGGGGGGCGCGCGCGGCGGCCGCGACGCGGTCGAGGCCTTCGCGGCCGTCTACGGGGCCGTGCGCGAGCCCTGGCTCACGCGCGCGCTGCTGCTCTACCACGCGCGCTCCGGCTCCGCGCGCGCGCTCGACCTGCTGGCCCGCGCGCCCGACTACCACGCGCGACACCTGCTCGACGCGCTGCACGACCGGCTGCGGGCCGACCCGCCCGCTCGACGACACGCCCTCGCCGCGCTCGCGCCGCTCGTGGCGCGCCGCCCGCCCTGGCTGCACCGCCTGCCCGCGCACCCGCTCGCGCGCGACCTCGTGCGCGCCGCGCGCCGCGAGCGCGAGCCCCTGCCGCTGCTGCACGCGCTGCTGGCGCTCGCCGCGCTGCTGCCCGCCGCGCCCGCGCTCGCGGCCCCGCTGGCCGCCGACCTCGCCGCCGCGCTGCTGCGCCCCGCCGCCCTCGCGCCGCCCCCGCCGCCGCCCGCCGCGCTCCACCTGCGCCTCGCCCAGCGCGCGCTGTTCCACGCGCTGTACGCGACGCACCCGTGCACGCTGCTGGAGGCGCTGCGCTCCGACGCCCGCGAGCGCGAGCGCGAGCTGGCCCCGCTGCTGGCCACCGTGCGCCTGCACCCCGCGCTGCTCACCGGCTCCCGCCAGCGCGAGGCGGACGCGGCCCGCTGGCAGCGCATCGAGCCGCACGACGTGCTCGCCGAGTGCCGCCGGCTCGCGGTGCCCGCGCCCGCCCTGCCCCCGGCGCCGCTCCCGCCCGCACCCGAGCCGGCGCCGCCGCCGGCCGCCCCCGCCGCACCGGCGCCCGGGTCCGGGGCGCATGCGGCGCGCGCCGCCGGCTCGCTGCGGCCCGGCGCGGAGCCGTGGTTCCCGCTGGGCGAGCGGTGCGGCGCGGACTCGGCTCCGCACACGCCGCTGCCGGCGGACGCGGACGCCGCGGAGCCGCCGGAGGCCGCCGTGGAGGCGACGCCGGAGAACACGCCGGCGCGGGAGACGCGCGCGCGGTTCCGGTTCCCGACGGAGTCCGGCGCGGCGCGCGCGATCGGGCGGCGCGCGGAGACGTCGCCGGCCGGCGGGGAGGCGTACTCTGCGCGGTTGGCGCGCGTGGCTCTGGAGCGGCGCGCGGCGGACTCGCCGGTGCCGTTCGGGGGCGCGCCGCCGGCCGGGGCGGTGGCGCGGCCGGAGCCCCGCGCGGGGTCGGCGCCCGGGCCCGGCCCCGAGGAGGAGCCGGCGGGCGCGGAGGAGGAGCAGCTCGCGGAGGAGGACCGCGAGGTGCTGGAGCTGACGGCGAGCGGGGCGGGGCCGGTGGGGTCGTGGCCGGAGTGCGCCACGCCCGCGCTCCCGCCCCGGGACCCGCGCGCCGACACCCCGGGCCTGGGAGGGGGGTCGAAGGCGGGACCTCCCCGTCGACCGTCGTCGTGCCCGCCGCGGGCCGCGTCGGGATCGCACTCGGTGGCCGTGCAGACCGTGGACGTGTGGCCGGAGCCTTACGAATTTCTCGTCGCCGATTTCTACCGGGGTCCTCTGCCCGAATGCGATAAGCGAGTGAGTAGGCCGTATTTAATAATATATTTTTTTATTGAAATGATAATACTTCTACTTTTTTCCCCGAGTACTCTATTCGTAATTCAATAATTTTCTTGCTTTCTCTTTGTCTTATTTTGCATCCATTTAATAATTTTGTCAAAATCATTATTTATTGAAAGTTCATAATCATTTTCATTTTTACATGCAAACATAATCATAGGACTTTGTATGCATTTAGGCAAATCATTTATATATACATTAAAAAATAATGGTCCAAATACGCTACCCTGTGGGACACCACAGACTGTTTTCCTTGATGAAGATGTATATGACTTTTCGAATTGAATTTTATCCTTAGTTAAAACATCGATGAAATGAACAAACCAAATTGATCTCCGCAAATGATAAAACGATGATACAAGTTGAAGAATTATATTTTTTTTAATAAAAGCAGAAAATTAAGCTAACAGAAAGAAATAGGTAAATAGAACAGACAACGTCAAAAAACAACCAAAGAGTAAAAAACTACATCAGCTATCAAAATAGCAAAGAGGTCCGCAACAATCGATATTAAAATCACCACATATAATAATCTTGTGTGTGTTCTTAACGCAATACTTACGAAAAATCTCATCAAATTTATTAAGGTAAATAATTATCCTATTCGCATTACTTCGAGGAGGTCCATATAAACAAATGATGCATGCCGATACTACTCGTGAACAGCACTGTCGACAAAGTAATATCGACATCAACGGCGTTCCGGAAAATAAATCTGAAAACATACTTTCATTGGTGAAGCAGCTAGGAACAGTAATTTCTTGTCCTATCGAAGAGACTGAAATTATTGCATATACCAAAGTGAGAAAACTTGACAGCACTAGCAAGAGACCACGATCAACAATCGTAAAACTGCCAAATACTCGCATAAGAGATAATATCATGGCTGCTTGTAATTATTGTTGTACCTCTTGTTGACATTAAATAACTTGATCATGGCTGCAGTATCAAAGTTTAATAAGGCCACCGTGCAACTGGGCTATGGTTGTGATACAACAGCTGACTATGTTTCTGAACATCTCTGCCCGTATTACAAAGAGCACGCGTTAAACCAGAAAAATAGCACGAGAAAAAGGCTATAAATATGTTTGGATACGGAACGGGCGAATCTTTATACGCAAGAACGATGAATCACCGGCTGGGCAGGTTAAGTCGGCGAATGACTTGAAGCAGTTGTAGCCTTTTCAGAACTGTACGATTACATTGCCGTATCAACTACTGCAACATTCACCGTCTACTACCAAAACCTCCGTGGCATGCGCACTAAGCTATTTGACATCAGGCTCGCTCTTTGGCAATATCTTATGACATCATAATCGCAACTGAGACTTGGCTGGACTGAGACACCATCAACGACAACGAACTTCTGAGCGACAAGTATACCATTTACAGAAGAGACCGCCAATCAACATCCTCTTTATCTATAAGAGGTGGTGGGGTGCTAATTGCTGTATCGAAACATATCCAGTCAGCCCGCATCCAGCACTACGAAAGTAGAAACGAAGACTTATGGATATCTATTAGAATCAAAATCAATAATACGGTAGAAGACTTTATAATTTGCGGTGTCTACGTACCACCACCTGTATCACTTGGCGTACTCGCTTCGGTACTGGATAACATCAGCTCTGTAGTTAATACAAACACGAGCAGGACTATGATTTTCGGTGATTTTAACCTAGGTTTTATTGATTGGTCTCCAGATGAGACTGCTGGTGGGTTGACTCCGTCAAACTACAATAGTCCGCTTGGTTATGCCCTGGTCGATTTTATGTCTTACAGTATAGAACAATTTAACTTTGTAAAAAATGCGAACAACAGAATCCTAGACTTAGTTCTTACTAACTTCAAAAATATTGTTATTACCGAATCCTCAGACATTTTAAGCAAAATTGATGCTCATCACCCTGCTCTCTTAGCGGATATTGATGTAAAGGTTGTGACAAGTCTTGTAAGTAAATTAAAACCTTTTCTTAATTTCAAAAGAGCTAATTATCCAGTTATAAATGAAAAATTGTATAATGTGAACTGGGAGTCTGAGCTGGGGGGTGAGGATGTCAACGTCATGATGCGTAAATTTTATTCCATCCTCAAGAACATCAATCATTCTAATATCCCCAAACTTATTATCCGCCGTAGAAAATATCCTAAATGGTTCACTCGCGCTTTAACTAACTTAATATCTGAACGTGATAATAATAGGTGCCGTTTCAAAAAATATAACAACCAGCGAGACTTATTTGAACTTAAGCTTGCCAATAAGCGAGTGGACCAAATGATAAAAAAATGTTATGCTGCATATCTAGATGAAGGACTCGATTAGGCAAAATCCTAAAAAACTTTGGTCGTACGTCAAGGATCTCCGCGGTGGTAAATCTAACATTCCTGGTGAAATGCTTCTCAACACTGCTTCAGCTTCTACCGGTAACGAAATATGTGATCTTTTCGCAACACACTTCTCCTCGGTCTATACCCAGAAACTAGATTCCATACCTAGTGATTTAGTTAATGATAGTGACTATCCACAGCTATCTCTCGGTAAAGTTTGCTATATCCGAACGCATGATCACTAAGATCTTATCTAAAATTGACGAGAGTAAAGGAGCAGGTCCTGACGGCATTCCGCCACTATTTCTTAAAAGAACCGCTAAATATATTGCGCTGCCACTTAAAATCATATTAGCTAAATCCATTGCTACGGGTATTTTCCCGGATTTGCTTAAGGAGGCTAATATCATTCCAGTCTTCAAAAAAGGTGAAAATAATAACGTTAAAAACTACCGCCCAATTCTGAATCAAAGTTATTTGAAAAATTTTTAAAAACATCATTTATTTATTTATTTATTTGACATACCATCGACAATTTCACAAATTTCAATAAAGATTTAAGATGTAGGTAGTACTCAACCGTGTGAATTGCCATTGTAGGCATGTACAACATTGACTATATGTAGGTAGGTACTTATACTTTTAACAGAAAAAAATTATTGTTCGGTTTGAACGTTACCATACAGATGATTTTTGAGAGCTTTGAGTGGAGCATGAAAGATGTCAACATCATGGCATATCTCGTTGTATGCATCTTTAATTCTGTTAAACGGTGAAGCTAATTTTGTTTTAAAGGGACAGTTAACGAATGATTTGATGGGTTGGCGGGGGATTTTTCTGGGAACCTTTAACTTAATTTCCGCAAGAAGGTCGTGTGCAACAATATTGCCGTGAAGTAATTTGTGCAGAAATAAAATGTCCGCGGTTTTTCTACGCTTTTCTAAGGTATGAAGTTTAAAGTATTTGAGACGAGTGTGGTAATCCGCACGGTAAGGACACTTCCTGTCTTTGAAAGCAAGAAACCTCGTAAAATTACGTTGAATTCGCTCGATTCTATCAATGTGGACTCGATATTGCGGATTCCAGACTTGGGAACTGTATTCTAGTATACTTTGCACCAAACTCTTATACAAGCATAAAATTGTTGCGGTGTTATGGAAATTCTTAGATAGGCGTTTCAAGAAACCCAACATTTTTAATGCCTTTGCAACAATAACGTTAATATGTTCAATGAATCCGAGCTTTTTATCAATTACAATGCCCAGATCACGAGTCGAACCCACTTCGGTTAGCTGTGCAGAATTGATAGTATAGATAGAAGCGTTCATGTTTTTTGTCTTCCTGGTAAATTTTATAAATAGACATTTACTTGCGTTAAGAGTCATACCGTTGTCTACGCACCATTCCGATACCGAATCTAGATCTTTTTGGAGTAAAAGTATATCTTCCTCGTTTTTAATCGGTCGATACAACTTTAAATCGTCGGCAAAAAGAGAGCAGCTGCTATACCGGATTTTATTAGGGATATCGTTAATGAAAACGAGAAACAGAATTGGTCCCAAGATCGAACCCTGAGGGACTCCCGACGAGGTGAGGAATGGTTTCGATTTGTAGCCGTTCACAACTACCCTTAACAACCGATGCTCTAAGTAAGAACGGAGCCATAGCAGTAGGGGTCCATGAATTCCGTAACGCTTCAGTTTCATAAACAGTATATTGTGGTCAACCTTGTCAAACGCACTGCTAAAATCTGTATAAATGGAATCTATTTCTACGCCAGAGTCGATTGATTTCGTTAGTTCATTGACATACGAAACAAGATTGGTTGCTGTTGATTTATTTTTACAGAATCCGTGCTGGTTTGCATGAATGATGTTTTTAAAATGGGAAGTTAAAAACGGGCAGATAATTTTTTCAAATAACTTTGATATTGCATTCAGAATAGATATTGGGCGGTAGTTTTTAACGTTATTATTATCACCTTTTTTGAAGACTGGAATGATATTAGCCTCCTTAAGCAAATCCGGAAAAACACCCGTAGCAATGGATTTAGCTAATATGATTTTAAGTGGCAGGGCAATGTATTTAGCGGTTCTTTGAAGAAATAGTGGCGGAATGCCGTCAGGACCTGCTCCTTTACTCTCGTCAATTTTGGATAAGATCTTAGTGATCATGCGTTCGGATATAGCAACATTACCGAGAGATAGCTGGGGATAGTCACCATCATTAACTAAATCACTGGGTATGGAATCTAGTTTCTGTTACCGGTAGAAGCTGAAGCAGTGTTGAGATGCATTTCACCAGGAATGTTAGATTTACCACCGCGGAGATCCTTGACGTACGACCAAAGTTTTTTAGGATTTTGCCTAATCGAGTCCTCCACCCCATCTAGATATGCAGCATAACATTTTTTTATCATTTGGTCCACTCGCTTATTGGCAAGCTTAAGTTCAAATAAGTCTCGCTGGTTGTTATATTTTTTGAAACGGCACCTATTATTATCACGTTCAGATATTAAGTTAGTTAAAGCGCGAGTGAACCATTTAGGATATTTTCTACGGCGGATAATAAGTTTGGGGATATTAGAATGAATGATGTTCTTGAGGATGGAATAAAATTTACGCATCATG